CACTTAAGGATTAAACCTGTGATCTCACAAGTCAAGAAAAAGTATTCAAACCAGTTGAGCACTAAAAACTAGTGGACGTATATCAAATGAAGAACACGCAATCTACACAAACATATCACGAGTACCTCACCGCACTCTCCTTAGCGCAAGTCTCCTGGGGTTACGACTCAGTTGGCAACATCTACTTGTTATTGTCGCATTGATGAAGGAATTGGCTTCATTATTTATATGATAAATTTCGTCGCAGGCAGAAATGAGGAAACGCAAAGTGACACGCTGATAAAACTCAGTCCAGCGATGGACGACTACACTAGGAGAACTAGATCATTTTGTACTGATGATGTTGTTGTTGATGATGATGCTGATGATGATGATGATGATGATGATGATGATGATGATGATGATGATTCGGATGATGATGATGATGATGATCGAGTTTGATACAAAACATGTCAAGCTAATAAATCAGTTAAGAGGATCAAGGGTTCAGTCAGTATAAAGCGATGCAACCTGTAGCAAGGATGATTCAGTTTTGAAGATGTTCAGTGATGACTGGTGAAATGAATTTTCTATGAACATGCATTAGTGCTCCAGTGGTTAAGTCCAACAAAAAATTGGCTTATCTGGGCAGGAACACTTGCCTAATATCCAACTTTTAATCTCACCAGGCAGCAATGTGATACATATTGTCCTAAATAATATTCTGATTAGAATTAATTTATTTTATTGTATCCTTTTCCACTAAGTCCTCCCAGTTTCTTCTTCAGTCGGGCGCCAAAGCTATTAGCTACCAGTACTGTGTGTTTGTTTCCAGGATTCGTTTAAATCATTCTCGCTCAATGACAATCCGACTGCTGAGGGTGGCTTTTGTGTATCTCTGCTTTTCTGCTTACCAAAACGGCCTTGTAATCATAATGTGTGCAATGATGAAACTTGACTCATGAATTTGCATGATCGACCTGCACCCCTTATGGAAAGCTTACATCGGGATCACTGTACTTATTGTGAACCGTCATTTTTCTGCGAGAAAATGAGTCTGACGCTAACGAGAATTTAGTGATACGGAAAACTGACTATAGAATAGCATTGTGGTGAACAGTCTCATACTTGATCAATATTTAGCCAAATCAGATGATCATTGGTCAGACACTTTGTATTTCACTGGACAGTCTCCAACTGTCCTACCTGGCAAACCCTCATTCCTGGTGACGACCATACAACCCGCCGATAAATTCGGCACACTGAGCATGAAGTGATGGCGAACGAAAGGATCAGACCACATTGACGGAAACACACACAATGCACCCATCCCACACGAGAACAGACTTTATTAGGAAAATTGTGCTTCCTACTTATCGTACTCATAAACGAAGTTAAGTGAGGTCAAAGTACATCTTTTATACCTTTTGAACGCTTTCCCAATTGAACAATTATTTTTAAGGCAAACTATCAAGCTATGATTCGACAGACAGTGAGCTTACTATGGTTGATAACTACTGGTACAGGACAAATCCATTTCCACCTCAAATTATCTTTCCAGGGCGATCACCTCATGTGTGCCAAAAGTTGAAGTCAGCTCTAGATCGCACATTCCCAGCTGCTCGACTTCGACTTATTGCTTTTGCCCGTGAAACAGATTTGGACAAACCTACTCATGATTGGCAACCTAGTTCTATTGCACACACTTTGTACCAGTTCAATTGTAGTTTCGGTGACGCATAAATAAGCAAAATAAACCGTTATTTTTCAGAAAGAATGGCCTAACATATTCCAAAGTGGTTGGTGAAGTCGATGCCTCAACCAACGAGTGAGAATCAGGCGATCAAAATGAATCCGGGGTCCTCCATTGCAAAACCCATCAGGACAACCAGACACAATGGATCCTTAGTCCTCTTTCAAACCCTTATTACGTAACCGCAATGCAAAATTGGTGACCATTAGTGAGGCGTTCTCAATTAGATTACATCAGTCCATTTTGTGCACCCAAAAGTTGTTGAAGTAATCAGTTCTCTTGCTATGGAGTTGACCTTTTGTTGTTTTTTAATTTCGACAGCTCCTGTCTACCTGCACGCGCTCGTTTATGAGTTTTTGCTAACCCAAAGTGCTAGATATATATATATATATATATGCCTGTGTATTTTAAATCAGCGATTGAGAAGATTGAACGAAATGTTAGCACCTCGCAATACGAGTCCTCTTTCAATCTTCATCCGAGCAAACTTTACACGAACAGATATGTTTGTTCATAGATAAATAAGACTGTACTAGAACAAAGGACGCTTTGTCATTTCCTGGATAAATCCCACGAAAAATCAGTCCAAACAATAAAATTGTTGGTTTACTGTACCTTTTTACATGCGAGTAGTGGAGGATTTGATTCAATTTCAAAGAGGGAATTCGTCGTGTATATGTCAAATGAAGCATGAACTGAAAAGCACTGGACAGTTGTTTCGACCTGGTCAGGTCTCATCAGCAGAGGGAATCCATCGACCTAACTCGGGATCCAACCCGGGACCTCACAGGCAGAATACAAGCATGCTGCTCACTTGGTCACCGGGCAGCTGATCAGACCGTTTTTCATTTTCCATATACAGGGTATAGCACAAACCATCTTTGAGAACTGGTTGCGGTTATCGTGCCTCCGGGATTATGAATACAATATAATCACCTATCTCCCAATTTCCGGTAAGCGTCAGCTGACCTTCTAAGACAGTGACAAAAAACTCGATTCAACGGATCCCTCGCACTTTCCTTCCGTCCCTCCCTCTCTCCCTCCCTCCCTCCCAAATAAACAGAACTTACCCAGTGGAACGAATGCAATCAGAAAAGTGAGAGTCCAGATGGTATGAACTGCTTCTTCCAAAAGTGATTTCCAGTTATAAAACTGCATTGGTAACAGAAATGTTTGTTGTTGTTTT